TATATATATATATATATATATATATATATATATATATATATATATTCTAAATGTATACATTTTATTTATATTTAATTAACAATGATTAATATGATTATATTATTAATTATTATATTATAAAGGATTTATATCGTAGATGAGCAACTAGAGTATATTACTTTTTATTTAAGTATTTCAAATATCTTTTTTTTAGTCAAAATACTTATTTAGAAGTATTTTTTTTTTCAAAATAAGTATCTAAATATGGTATTATCTCTATAATTTACTTTTTTTATTAGTCGGGATAATTATAAGGTAATATTTGTTCGAAATAATCTCAACCAATTGACAATGAACACTCATTACTCTACAGACTTTATGCTCGAACTCAAAACTCTCTAGAAAGAATAACACTCAAGTTGCTTAATGAATTTTACAATTTACTTTAAATTGTTGAAATAAGAGACAAAGAAGAATGTATAAAATGTAGATCTAATTGTACTAATATGTCCTCAAAGTATGATCTTTATTTTAGATTGATCCTTAAACTTTTAAATATTTTAATTTCATCCCTAAACTATGATTATCATTTTAAACTAGTCCTCAAACTTTTGAATATTTCAATTTCATCCCCGAATATTGATCTTCATTCTAAATTAATCCCCAAAGCTTTTGAACATTCCAATTTCATCCCAAACTAAATGTATATTCTAATCACATCCCTTGTTAATAAAATCAATAAGCCAAGTTATATTATTATACGTTTGAAAAAAAAACAAAATTTAGGATAAACTATGGTTGAAACTATTATATATTTGGATGAATTTGTGGATGAAATCGGAGTATTCAAAAGTTTGGGGACCAATTTAGAAAGGGGGTCACAATTTAGGGATGAATTAGAATTTTCAAAAGTTTAAGGACTAATTTAGAATGAAATTCATAGTTTTGGGTTTAAAAGTTTAAGGGCCAATTTAAAATGAGATTTATAATTTAGGGACATATGATGCAATCAACTTAAAATATATATATATACAGCCAATTAGGCATGCAGCAGCTTTAAACATTCCCTTTCACACATTTGAATGAATCAGCAGGGGCCTATAGCCGACTGCATGCCTTCTCTCTGCCCTGAATCGCTTTGTGTGTTGGCATCCATCTCTCATATTTTAGTTAGGTGCAACTTTTTTAGTGTGGTTCTAGTCTACCCCAAGGCCTAGAAGTTCGCAAATCAATGCCATTGATCCCTAAACATATTCGAGAAAGGTACGGTGTTGACAAAGATCCTCTGCTTGTGGTAAACCTACAGTGCCCTTAATACTGGCATTTCTATGTATAAAGTATATGTTTGGCCACGTCAAACAAAATATTAACCGTAGAGTCATACCTTTTGGGTTTTAGATGTTATCCTTTTAGACTACAAGGGGTCGTCTTCCTTTTAGCATCACTGTACACGTTGGAAAATTCTTCTATTCCTCTCCTCCCAAACCAAATAAAGAAAAGCATTCCAAGCTAGCTTAAGAATCAAAACAGCCAAAGACTTACCCTTGAATGTGTTGATAGCCCAAGCAAGCTCTTGTCCCCACGAATGGATCCCCCTATCACGTCTGCATAATTTGAGGATACCCTTCCAAATGCTCACCGAAAATGCACACCCAAAGAGAGATGATCACGTGTCTCCGCATCCTCCCCACATAGTATACAATCCGGACTCAATATCATCCCTATCTTCAACAGGCGATCTTTTATCGCCAGCCTATTGAGAATGGCGAGTCACACGACCACGGCAAGTTTAGGGACATGGAGAGGAAACCAAACAATTTTATGCCAGTCTACCCTCTCTCTATTACCACGAATCTCATCCCAAATCTCTTTCACACCCACATCCCGTCTAAACAGGACACCCCTTATAGTGTAAGTCTCGTCTCGCAACATGAAAATCTTCCGAAGACTAACTCACAGAGCTCTTAACTTCAACTGTACAAAAATCTCCCCTTTTAGCACATGAGCGTTTACCTACGCCACCCATAACAACCCCTCCCCGCCAAAATATCCCTCAACAATTTGAAAAGATAAACTTTATTCCAGCACCAGATGTCCTTAATGTTCAACTCACCCTCAAACCTTGGCAAACATAATCGCTCTCACCCTCAAACTTTCTTCCTCCTCCTTTTGGGAATATTATCTTTTTCTTTTCTATAATCATTGAGTTTATTATACCTTTTATCACACGTGATTCTCCGTCTAAATAAAAAAAATTAACTGTACATCAATTTCCACGTTGTCCATCAATATTGATGCGGTGGACATTAATAAACTGCTGAGCTTCGGGGAAAAAATACATAATTTGAAACTCTCTAGGTAATGCCTTTTATAACGTAGTAGTGAATATCTTGAAGGACGGAAGTAAGATTTAATGTTATTGGAATAAATTTCTAAAATTTTTAAGGTAAGTAAACTTATAAAATTTTTAAAAAACGAAAATAAATTATCAATAAAAAATATAAATATATATATATATATATATAAAGTATAAGATAATTTAAAACTTTTAATGCCAATATCCAACTGCCCCTCTATCCATCCTTGAACCCCTTAAATACAACCATAAGCGAGCACAAAAAGTAGAGTATTATCAACATCAAGTTCTGCAAAGGGGTCATCAAATGGATTGTCCTGAACAAAAACACCAACTGAATCCATTTGATTAAGAACCATCATCACAAACTGTTTCACAGTTTATAAGGGGAGAAAAATGGCATATGATCCAAGCAGTAATCTCTTTCTCTCTCTTTGTTTCCTTTTTTCTTCTCTCTATAGGATAATTCCATGTCTTCGAGTTGAATCTGAGTTCTGAAATGCAAAACGAGTGGTGGACAGCTTTTGCAGTCTCTTCTGCTTAAAACCTATTGCCTCTGAGCCTTGAGGGCACACATGTTAGGGCTACCCTACCCTAGGGTTAGCCTCACTTTGAGTTTTCTTTCTAACCAGCCGACTGGAATAAATCTTTGCAATCTCAAACACCTGAAACTCTTGATTTGTTAAATAATATTTATGTTAATATGTTTGTCTTAAATGTTGTCTTCTGTCTTTAAAATCACTGCCTGCATTAAATTGTGTCTGCAGTGTAACCCATTAGCTATTGTGCCTCAGGTTCTAGGGTTTTTTTCTTCGCTTTATTACTTTTGAAACTAAGACATTATTAATTAAACTACATACTATTAAGTGGAAAGAAACGAATCCCTTATTAATTGAAGTGGGAAGAGAAAGGAAAAGAAGAATCATCCAAATCTGTACTGCTTTTGGAACTTCGAGTTTTAGAAGGACTATTGTATGATTTCCATATCTAAAACCATACCAGAGTTTACTGCTGTAAAAAATGGTGTTCAAGATTTCCCAGATCTCTTACTCAAAGTAAAGATTTCCCCGGATCTCATTGGATTTCACTTAATGTTACTAAGGATTATATGGTAGATTCACTCTCTGGACAAGTCCTAGAAATACAAAAATTTATTAGATAGATCCAATTCACTGCGTTATTTATGGTCCCAATTAATAACAGTTTTTAATCTCATTCTTTTTCATGGTGAAAATTTACGTCTTTACTAAATGTAAATAAAGAGTTGACAGTTATTTAAAAATTATTTTAAAATTAATAGATGTGATTCCTTAGAACTATAGATTATGTGGGACAATGAATGACGTAGGATCATAAAATAATTTCTCCATAAATACAATATTATCATAAAGTAGTTGCTTCAACTTTTAACTCAAAATAAAACTTTTGAATTAAAATATTTAAAAAATAAAGAATAGAGGTTAAATTAATTATTTAGTCAAATTTTAATAGTTTTTTTTACGTTACACCTTTATGAATTTAAGCAAAGGTAGGGAAGGTAGGGCTACACCTACGAGAAAGGGCCCAAAAGGAGAAACATTCATGAATGTATATCACAAGTGCATAAACATTTAACCAATAACGCAGGGGATGTCTAAGTTACGAGAGAGTTAAAATACGGTTAAGGAAATACGTTATCAGAAATATTAATGGTTTTTTAATATTTTTAGTAAAACATTACCTAAACCATTATCTTTTACCTGAAATATTAATATTATGCACTACCTAAAATGTTATTTTTTATACCGGATTTTCTATCGGAAATTATATAGCAAAATTTATATTTTCAAGCGGCGCTTTATCGAAAATATTAAAAAAATTAATATTTTCGGTAATGTCTTTTCTTAACCGTATATTAGGGTGTCGTACGACAGAATAACCTAATAATGCAAGGTAGATGAGAGGGAAAAAAAGAAATTCAGTGCTGAATATCAAACCTTTTTCGTCACAGATTGGATTGTTTCTGGTTCAGCAAGTAAAAGGGTTAATTAAATGAAGTGCTTTTTTATCCACTTCTCTCTAGGTCATTACCCATATTGTGCTAACATGGTGTAACCATACATGTCTCAAATATCAAGAAGGTCCCAAATAAAGAGGGCCAACCCCATTCCACCAACTCGGATCATGAACGCAACCAGGATAGAAAAAACATTTTATGTTAGAAGTAAACTTATAAAACTTTAAGAAGCCGATCGAGCCTCGGTGCAACAAGGAAAAGCACACAAATAAAGTTGAAAGCACTACATAACAAGAGATTATAAACAAGAAAAAATGAATTGGCAAGTGCAAAAAAGGGGGTTTAGAAACTCTCTGTTCATATCTAACTTGTCCCCATTTCTTACTGTTGAACACAACACAAACCCCATCCAATCGCCACTGCTCCAAGCCAAACTAGCTGAGAGTGCCCAAAGCTCCAAAAAGCTGCACCCAATCCCCGTACATAAAACAAAAACTTTTCTTTCTCCCCTTCCTTGCATGACCCCATTTGTCAGTTTGTTATGTTTTCTCTCTCTCTCTCTCTCTCTCTCTCTCTCTCTCCTACTCTGGGTAGCGTGTCAAAGCTGTTAATATACTTCATAAACATGATCAAAGTTCTTTCTAAAGAGGAAACAATCTTTAGAACAAGTTAGAATCCGTCCTGAAATCGATTTTCCAAGCGCTGATGTGTACCTACTGCATAGTTCCTACCCCAATTCAGCCCCTCTTCCTGGACGTTGCTGCTCAGTGATACGCCTCTTCCGCCGTGTCCGACCGGAGCTCCGATGCAAGTGAAGTTAGAGTCTTGTGGAACAAGGTAGCTTAGGTTTTGCTGAGGGTATTGTGATGGTGAACCGCTGCTTCCCGGGACATGTCCTACATAGTAATCGTTGATGGGATAGGAGCTGAGACGTGACGGTGATGGATGTAAATATGGTGGCGGCGGCGGCGGCGGGGATGGAATAAGCATTGAAGAAGAGCCGGGGAAGATTCTCGGTGGATAAACTGATCTAAATTGCAATGTTGGATCATAAATCGGGTGGCACCTGCAATGGTTGGAACATATTTTTGGTCAGTGATATGAAAGTTGAAGGAGAATAGTGCATAGTGCATACCCTAGATGCCCTTGGGTGGCCAAGTTATCGTTATTGAAGACCAGGTGGCGAGCTCGGTTCAGTGTCTCTGTCTCCCTTTCTGACTCATCCAACAACAAAACGCAGATCAAATCAAATCAAAAGTGAGTCATCCAACACGGAAAATCAGCCAAGAAATTCATCATAACAACCTCTGATGACTCTACATAAAAGTGGAAGAAATGACTTGCCTTGGCGATGGCGGTTCATGTGCCCCCCGAGAGCTTGAGATTTGCGGAACTTTAGGGAACAAAACCTACATTCATAGACCTTCCCACACTCATCTTTCCCATCCTTACCGCCGCTTTTCTTTTTCCGTGAGCCTGTTTTCATACACCCACCAATTAAAGCAACTTGGATGAGACCATTCTTGGCCCTATACCCCAACCCTAAGTTTACCCAAATCGTGTAACAAAAAAAGCTACTTTAAAGTTTAAACCCTAAAGCATCAAGAAAGAGTTGAAGAGAGATGTGAGTATACCGGAGGAGCCTTCCTCAAAGACAACTATACCATCCCTTGCATAATCGTCGGGCAAGTTATTGAGGTCCAATGGGTTTTCTTCAGGTCTCCTGCAAAATGAACAAGAGCCACAATTATAATTGAAAGAGACAAAGGGTAGAGGTTGAAGATGAAGGGAGGGAGACCTACATGGTACAAACAGAGAAAGACAGGAAAATATGAGGTGAACAATGCTTGAGATTGAAGATAACTAAAGCTTCAGAAGATTACAAGACTTCAGTTCTAGACTGGGCTAGTTTGAGTGAAGGTGTGGAGAAAAAAAAGGCTAGATTGTTTTGAAAGTTCTCTATCAGTTCCTCATCCACCAGCTCTCATATATTGAAAGAACAAAAGAAGGGGACAGTGGGTCTCGTGACTTTGAAAGAAAGGAGTTTAAGGAATGGGGTTTTTACTGGAACAGCTTTGGTTGGTTTTACCTACAGATAGAGGGTCACTTGCCCTAAAAACTAGTTTCATGAAACAATGACGGAGCCTGAAATAGTTAGAGAGATTACTAACAGGGTTTACCATAAAAGGGGTTTGCTGTTGGATTCATTTAAGCGAAAGGTTGGAACCAGAAATGTGGTTTGAGGGTAGGTAGCCCTAGAATTAAGCTGATTAGTGGGGTGCATGGTTAAAGTAGAATGGGGTTGGTCCCCGTGTAAGGTGAGGCGTCCCTGGGGCATCATTGTACCCTGCGCATTGCCATGGAACATTGAACTGTAACTATCAAGATCTCATTACCAGGGTTTTTGTGATCTAAGATGGGATATAGACTGAACCCCAGAAATAAAAGTGTTGTTTTATTCTTTGGAACTTCCCTCCTTGTTTCATCATCCTCTTTTTTCCTTCACTATAAAATCTATATGTTATTGTGTTTTTTCTTCTTCTTTTACTTCCACAAATTTTCAAATAATGTTTAATAGGGCGAACTAATTATTTGGTATCACATTCGTTTTAAGTATCTATTTTGGTCATTCAATTATTTTTTTGTTAAAGATATATTTAAAATTGTATTAAGTTTTTTATTTTGATCACTTATTGTTAAATTTTACCGTTTAATTAACAGATATGATAATGTGGCATGATACAATAATGGGTTTATCCCCAAAAGTTATATATTTTATCAATTTAGTCTTAATTCGGAATAATTCAATAAAATCTTAATATTTAAAATTTCTATCAATTTGATCCTCATTTTAATTTGAAATAATTTAATAATTCAATAAATTTGATCTCCGATAAGATGAAGACACATGAGTATTTTAAACAAGGAGGACTTAACTAGGGATGGGCATGGGCCAAGTTGAGTTGGATTTTGGTCGACCCGATTCGAATATTATACCTCCTCCATTTGTCACCCAACTCGATCTGGGTTTAGAGAGGCTCCACTCGATCCAATTTTTGAAATAAAAACCTACACCCGACCTGATATGACCTGACACACATATATAATCTTAATTTTATTTGATAAAATAAGAACCTAAATGAAAAATATAAAAAGAGTGATATTATTACAATTATTTCTAAATATATAAGGGATAATTTTTTAGTCAAGTCAGGTCAAATTAGAATATGTCGGATTCGGATCCCATGTCTACCCTTAGATTGAACCATTGAGTCGAGCTTTTTTTTTTTATATATATTAGATAACATTATTCATATGTTTCAATGGTTAAGTCTTTTTTATCTTAATTACCCAAGTTTGATCACTTTGTTCTTATTGTTTATTCATCTCATTAGAGGGTTAAATTCATTAAATTATTTTAAATTAAAAGAGGATGAAATTGATAAAAATTTTAAATATTGAAAATTTATTGAATTATTTTGAATTAGGGAAATATGTACATTTAGCTATAGCATACATTTTGACCCACAAGACATCACATGTATAGTTTCTTTGAATTTATCAAGAATAGGAATGTATTACCTTAAGCAAAGTCACTGAGAGCAAGAGGAAAGGGAAAGAAATGAGGTCACCTTGTCCCCTATATCACCAAACCCACGGCTAAATCAAGGCTAGAGACAAAAGAATCTTATTTGTTTTCCCTTAAGGGTAAAATTACACCTTTGGTCCTCCACATTTCCTCCCTCGCTCAAAAACACCCTCCAGTCACCAATTGAGCTTCAACTCCAATAACAAGCCCAAGAACCTAAACCTACCATTTACCAACATGGGCCATCTCTTGGTACATTCTCCAAAGCACGCTTGGTACAAGGCTCTGTGTCCAGTGCACTACCAGTTCAGTTCCCTGCAATATAGTGAATAGCATCCGTTTTTGTTATTGTTATTCTTTGAGGTCCCAAGTTCGAGCACTAAAAATGTCAAGAGTATAAACGTCTAATGTGAAAATGATTGAAAATCATCTTTAAACAGATATTGCTTTATACTTACCCCAAATTAATAAAAAAATATTATCGTATCTAATATTAACGAAATGAGACATCACAAAACAACTAAACACATTGGTCGCAAATATCATATTATCAAAGATGTCATGCTGAATAGAATATCAGATGCTGTCAAAATCCTTTATCTAAGATAATATTTTTACATTCATTTACCAATAGACTCTGATTTATTAAAATAATCTGAGATAAATATTCAAAATTTATAAAGTTCAATAAATAAGAATAAGTTTCCATATCTCGGAGATGGACTATGCATGAATTTGCTTTATATGTTTTTTTATTTTAAATTATATTAATTATTTTAACAAAAAATCATATTTTTATTAAAACAATATAGTTTTCACATTATTTAACTTAATAAAAATATAATTACTCTATTAAACTGTTATATAGTTTCATACAACAATCATATTAGCTACTCCTTGAGCAAAGCACAGATGTTAATGCAAAAGGTACTTTTAGCTACCAAACTTTGAACATTGTTCTCAAAATTAATAATACACTCATGTGGTGCTCAACCACCACGGGGATACAACCCTGATTTTGAATCCGATGTGGGGAGGTTGGGTCGTTGTTGTCCTTTAGGGTTTATTGACTATATTGCAAGGGTAGGATAAGTCAATGTCGTTCCAAGTACCCAATACGTACTTGTGAAGGATATGAAACGAGTACAGTTTGGGTACGTAACGGGGACGTCCCATGTTGAAGAAGCACGCCTAGAATTAATTTACTATATCGTAGAGATTTTCGAAGATGTATCAAGGATGACGTCTGATATTCATTCGCATACCCATAGTCATTTTTTAGATTTAACTTAAAAAATATATATTTAAAAAAAAAGATGTTTGTGAATAAGAAGTTGAAGTTGATTTTGAAGCCTGAAATATTAGTTGACTTACGATGATTTTTGGATGAGATTCGGATATTTTTGGGTTGAGATGTCTCCTTACATATGAACCGTCTTCCAGTTATCTTTCTAATACATCTTGAAATGCCTCAATCGGACGTAAGAAACCCAAGATATATTTGTTTTAACAAAGATAATATAAATAAAAAAAATTAGACACGAATCTAATACCTAATCTTGTAAATTTATTTATAAACTTTAATGAATATTCATAACTTTATTCGTATCATTTTAGAATTTTAAAATTTATTCATATTTACCCTATTCTTATCGTACGGTACCCTATAATTTTAGAAATTATCATTTCACATTTCGTACCCCTCCTCGTATCTAACCCGTATACAGACGAGTGTAACATAGTTCGCCGACTTACGGCCGAAAGATACTTGAAGTTGTGCTATGATGGAAGATTTTGAAAAATGGTAAACCATGCATCCGCTTTTCAAAACTGCCCAAAGCCATATATAAAAGCGACAATGGTCAATGAAAAGCACTACTTGATGAGTCGAGAAACGGTGGTCTGGCCGGCTTGATATATGGGTTTTGATGGAGATGATGATGGTCCTTAGTGGTCGGTAGAGAAAAAAGGTCGCATATTGCTAAGACTAAGACTTCAAAAAAGTAGGAAGAATTTATGGAAAATCATGAAGATGATAGTATGTATTTATGATGTTCACTCAATAATTTGATGATTTATGAAAAATCATATATAAGTTTACGTTTTGGTTTTATTTTAGTCACTCACCGTTAAAAAATTAACAAAACTGCTGATATGGTATTTTTATTTTTCAACGATGATATGACAATATCTTATGGTGACACGTAAGCATCACTGCTATTTTTTTAACTGTGAGTGATTAAAATGAAACTAAAACTAAATGTTAAGTATTATTTTAAAAAAGAAAATAATTGAGTGACCAAAAGTGATAATAAAGATACTAAACGTGTAATTTACCCAATATATATTCACCCTTTCTATTTTCTTAGATCACCATTCGTCGTGCCGGCTCAATGTGTTGATGCGTATTCAAGTAGGATGATGGTGTGTTTGGATCAAACATCTATATTAGACCTGTGAATGGGGTGGATCAGGTCATGTTCGGGTCATATTTGTTTCGAGTATGGTTTAATTCGGATTGAGTTGATTTCAAGTTCAAGTCTATTTTAGTTGGGTTAGGTCAATTCAATTTTTTTATCGGTTATTTGATTGTTCTTTTAGTTTAATTTTTTCATGATAGATTTGATGTCGTCCCGATTGATCAGGTGACGCTTATTTTTTATCCTATTGATTTTTCATGCTTTGGACCCTCAGATTGGTTTAGATATGCAGCTTACATTTGGAAATGGTTTTCTCACGATGGTCGACTCAGATTGGTTTACGTTCGGATTGTAATTTTTAATAAAATTAACTACTTTTATTTAAACAAAATAATAATAATAAATCTAATCACAATAATACATTAGAAAAGAAAATTTTCCACGTATTGATGCTTCATTAAATATAAATACATATATTTTAATATGTTGATGAAATTAGATTGAATAATATTCAAATTACATGAGTCAAATTTAATACGTCATTTTAATCAAAGTCAAATTTAACCTGCTTTGGTATTTTTCGCTTTCGCTATCTAAGTACTTCAAATGTTTTTTTTATCAAAATAAATACATAAAGTTATTTTTTATTAAAATAGGTACATAAATTATTTAAATTTTTTCATCTAAGTTTTAAAAAATTTGACGTATTAATTAAAGAATACTTTAGATACTTAGATAAAAAAAAATTGAATATTTCAAGAACATATTTTGACCAAAAAATGCTTTAGGTGCTTATTTTAAAAAACAACTTTTGATATTTATTTTGATCAAAATATACTTTAGGTACTTAAATGGAAACGATGATATACTTTATATACTTTTTGTTATATAAACCAAAAAATTTATTTGTATATTTTAATAATATAATTTTAATATATTTATATATTTTTGTATATAGTTTTAAAACAATATGTACGTTCATGCAAAAAAGAAGATTTATTTGTATTATAGTTGTTTTTTAGTAATAATTTTTTTATTATAATAATTATAAAGTATAAACATTTTAAACTTACGACCCATTATGTAGCTTTAAACAAAATAAAAGTAAAAGTAAATTTGTTTATTTAATTATTCTAATAATTTAGATAATTTTTATAAGAATAATATTCTTTTAATAATTAATTATGAAAATACTATAAAATATTTAGAGAAATAACATATATTTTAATTACGTTGGGTAAATGTATATTTAACTAAAAGTGTTTTATTAAAGATACTCTTAATTGGAAGCGTTTTTGTCCTACGTGGCATAACGTGTCAAATAAGACAAAAACTTCTTCAACTAAGGGGCTGTTTGTTTACTTCAGAATGATTAAACGCTGAATGATTCAAATGCTAAATGATTCAGAGGCTCTGTATAAATTAACTCTGAATGTGACATGTTGTTTAATAATGGTTCTGAATCATTCAGAATGTACTTCTATGCTGAATCATTCAGCATTGTTTTGCTGAATCAGTCAGCACTGAATCATTCGGAGGTACGAAACAAACGCGCTGAATGTTGAACGGTTCAACATTCAGCGTTGAATGGTTCTATTAAGAGACAAACAAACAGCCCCTAAGAGTGTGTTTAATAAAACGTTATTAATTAAATATTTCTTTCCTTTAAATAATTAAAATATATATTATTTCTTTAAATAATTTTTTTAAGTACTACTCTTATGGTTAATTACTAAAAAGATATTATTTCATAACATTACCAATAACTATAATTTAAAATACATTTACAATTCCATACTCGTTATCTAATTTTCAAAAAAAAAAAAAGTTAATTACATCATTCCTCATTGAACTTTACTTTCTATCCTATTTTACTCATTGTACTTTTAATTTTTCTAATTTATTAACTGAACTTTCGAATTGCTCATCTTTTGGTCAATCTAAGTTATTTTATTATTCTTTTGATATGATATGATATTTTTATTATTGATTAATATAAAATAATTTAAAATATAAAAATTAAAACAGTTGGTACTCGTCCATTGTTCGTCGTTATTGAATGCCACCGTCGACAGCCGTAGATGGTGGTCATTTGATCCCAAATTTCATCGGGCGATTCGTCTCGACCCTTTAAGTTTTAATCCGATCCTCATTTTGTTGGATTATGCTCCAGATCTGATCAAAAGTGAGAAAGTCAAAATGTTGATCGTCGTAGATGGGGATGTTCAATTTCAAATTTCATGGGTCGCTTAGCCTTAACACGTTGAGTTTGAATACGACCTCCATTTTATCGGAATATGCTCCAAATTCTTTGAATAGGAGATCGAATGTGAAATAGGATGATTACAGAAGAGGACTCTCTCTCTCTCTCTCTCTTCTCTAGGATGATTGTTCATGATATTCTTTAGATTCGTATATTTTCTTTTTCTTTTTTACACAACAATTATATTGTATTGAGGGGAGTCTAAATTCTCCCCAATGGTTTGTGGACAGAAATGTATATGTGAAGCATGCGCGGGGTGTGATTGAGATTTGACAAAATCCTACCATTATTTTCTCACTTAACCATAACAAAATTGATTTGACAAAAAGCTTTAGAACAAACCCAGGTTGAGCCCTACCGGCCATAAGTTCTTCCATTGTACAACATCATTCAAAGATGAGACCCCACAATTGCTTTTTCGGGTTTAATCGTATTATACACCCGAGGTTATCCATTATTATCATTTTACCCCTTAATGAATTTTGAATTTCTCAAAGTAAAGTGTGGAATTTTAATTAAATTCACGTGAAATATTTTGATTGAACAATTCATTTTTAATGGATTTAGACATTGAATTAACTACGTTAAAAATTTGAAACTACATGAACGAAATTCATAAAACAATTATTTAAGGGATAAAATGATAAAAATGG